GAATAGCAGTCAGTGTCCTTAAAGCGGGTGTGTTACGCTAACAGTGGATACGGTGACCAGTGCCACCACTTAGTCCTGGTGACACAAAGCTTGTATTTAAAAACAAAAAACACTTTTTTCACTGTTATAGATTGAATAGCAGTCAGTGTCCTTAAAGCGGGTGTGTTACGCTAACAGTGGATACGGTGACCATTGCCACCACTCAGATCTGGTGACACAAAGCTTGGATTTAAAAACAAAAACACTTTTTCACTGTTATAGATTGAATAGCAGTTAGTTGTATCTTCAAACGGGTGTGCTAACGGTGGATCGCGGTGACCATTGCCACCACTTAGATCTGGTGACACAAAGCGTATTTAAAAACAACCACTTTTCACTGTTATTATATATTGAATAGCAGTCAGTGTCCTTAAAGCGGGTGTGTTACACTAACAGTGGATCGTTGACCAGTGCCACCAATTAGATCTGGTGACACAAAGCTTGGTTAAAAAAACAAAACACTTTTTTCACTGTTATAGATTGAACCAACAGTCAGTGTCGCGCTTAGTTGTGTTACGCTAACAGTGGATACGGTGACCAGTGCCACCACTTAGATCTGGTGTCACAATAGCTTGGATTTTAAAAAAACACACTTTTTTCACTGTTATAGATTGAATAGCAGTCAGTGTCCTTAAAGCGGGTGTGTTACGCTAACAGTGGATACGCTGACCAGTGCCACCAATTGGATCTGGTGTCACAATAGCTTGGATTTTAAAAAAAAAACACTTTTTTCACTGTTATAGATTGAATAGCAGTTAGTGTCCTTAAAGCGGGTGTGTTACTGGCTAACGGTGGATACGGTGACCAGTGCCACCAATTGGATCTGGTGTCACAATAGCTTGAATTTTTAAAAAAAAAAAACTTTTTTCACTGTTATAGATTGAATAGCAGTCAGTGTCCTTAAAGCGGGTGTGTTACGCTAACAGTGGATACGGTGACCATTGCCACCACTTAGATCTGGTGACACAAAGCTTGGATTTAAAAACAAAAAACACTTTTTTCACTTTTATAGATTGAATAGCAGTCAGTGTCCTTAAAGCGGGTGTGTCAGCCCTACAGCGTGTACTCTGCCAGTTTACAGTGCCACTCATATCATACCACCAGAATGCCGTCATTGCAGAGCTCTGCAGTGTGTCATTTTTTTTGTGTGTCTGCCTCTGACAACAGCGATGCCATTTGCAACCTGTGCCAAAAGAAACTGAGTCGTGGGAAGTCCAACACCCACCTAGGTACAACTGCTTTGCGTAAGCACATGATCTCACATCACAGACGCCTATGGGATCAACACATGATTGCAAGCAGCTCGCCTACTCTAAGCCGCCAGCCTCCTCCTGGTCCAGCATCTTCAGCCACGTCAACCACTGCTGTCCTCCTTGTCCCCTCTCAACCATCCGCCACTCCGCCTCCCGCCTTGAGCAGTTTACGCTCATCTTCCATAACCTCCTCACCTGAGACCTCTTGCTCCACATCAACGGATACGGGACGTAACAGTGATTAAACTGATAACAATAGTACTAAACACACCACTCCTATCTGGTGGCACATTAGATTGCACGCTCCACATCAACGGCACCCCCCCAGCTCCCCAGGTACTATTCCACATCCCGGATACGGCATTGAAGTTGGGCAAGTTGGGCAAGTTGTCACATGTGCCGTGCATGGCACATGTGTGTAATCTGATCGTACAACGCTTTGTGCATAAGTACACAGGCTTACAGGACGTCCTGAAGCAGGCCAGGAAGGTGTGTGTCCATTTCAGGCGTTCCTACACGGCCATGGCTCACTTTGCCGATATCCAGCGGCGAAACAACATGCCAGTGAGGCGCTTGATTTGCGACAGCCCGACACGTTGGAATTCAACACTCCTAATGTTCGACCGCCTGCTCCAGCAAGAAAAAGCCGTTAATGAATATTTGTATGACCGGGGTGCTAGGACAGCCTCTGGGGAGCTGGGAATTTTTTTGCCACGTTACTGGACGCTCATGCGCAATGCCTGTAGGCTCATGCGTCCTTTTGAGGAGGTGACAAATTTGGTCAGTCGCACCGAAGGCACCATCAGTGACATCATACCATTTGTTTTCTTCCTGGAGCGTGCCCTGCGAAGAGTGCTGGATCAGGCCGTAGATGAGCGTGAAGAGGAAGAGGAAGAGTTGTGGTCAACATCACCTCCAGAAACAGCCTTATCAGCATCGCTTGCTGGACCTGCGGCAATGCTGGAAGAGGATTGTGAGGAAGAGGAGTCAGAGGAGGAATGTGGCTTTGAGGAGGAGGAAGAGGAGGAGCAAGACCAACCACAACAGGCATCCCAGGGTGCTCGTTGTCACCTATCTGGTACCCGTGGTGTTGTACGTGGCTGGGGGAAGAAAATACCTTCATTGACATCAGTGAGGAGGAGGAACGGGAAATGAGTAGCTCGACATCCAACCTTGTGCAAATGGGGTCTTTCATGCTGTCGTGCCTGTTGAGGGACCCTCGTATAAAAAGGCTGAAGGAGAACGACCTGTACTGGGTGTCCACGCTACTAGACCCCCGGTATAAGCAGAAAGTACGCTGCCACCTCCTCTACTCCTTCTACTCCATCCTCTTCCATAACCTCCTCGGCTGAGTCCTCTTCTGCTGCTGCGTCTAACTCCACATCAACGGATAGGGGACGTAACAGTGATTAAACTGATAACAATAGTACTAAACACACCACTCCTATCTGGTGGCACATTAGATTGCACGCACAGTGCCCCAAATTTGTTGTGATCTGTGAGTAAGGTAAACGGTTGTCATACAAGTTGGTTGCAGCTTTTTTGAGGGCCCACACCACCGCTATGCACTCCTTTT